ACTTACTACAGTGAATATGACACTTACTCATGAGTAAAATAACATTTACCATGTCAATAATTGAAGGGTTTAAATTATCCATAAAATAGAGAATACTATAAGTATCAAAAGATGTGATACCATTCATTTTTAGCGACAACCAACTTCTAATGTTGACCCAAAATCTTTGAGACACAGGACAGAATACAAACAAGTGCTCTAAAGTCTCTTCAGAATCACCACAGAAAGCACAAGGGTTCACATCAAAATGTAACCTTTTTTTGAGAAATGCAGCAGTTGGATAAATCTGGTGAATTATTTTAAAATGGGTTTCTTTCACTTTAGGGAAAACAGGCATCTTAATATATTTGGAATGTGCTTTAGTCAGAACAAAAAGCTCAATTAACTCTGGGAACTTAGTATGCAGCCCTCTGTGGTAATCATGGAAAAACCTAGATTTCAGGATAGTATGAATAACTTTGTTATTACATTTCCTATCACACAAGTTACAGTCATCAATCACTAAATTTGGTAATACATCCTTAACATTTGCATACATTAAGGTGTTTTGAATTAACTGAATTAATGGTAAGGGAATTAAGATTTTCATCAGTTTTGGAAGTGTGATGATCCTGTTCCATTTTTCTCAAATCATTTTCAAGCTTCGTTAATTTTTCTCTTCTCTCTTTGGCTTTATGCGCACCGTATGAAAGTATGTGTCCTCCCATAAAAGCCTTGAGTGCTTCCCATATATTAGCATGTGTTGACGAGTTTTTGTTTGCAGCCAGAAAAATGTAAATATTATTGTTCATGTAAGAAATTAATTCTGGGTCTTTTAACATGTAATTTTTAAATCTCCACATAAAGGATGTAGGTTGTAAGGAGTTGGTCGTCCAGATGAGTTTTAAGGGATTGTGATCAGAGAAGGTAGCTGTTAAATAACTGCAGTCTTTTTTTGAAGACATCATATCTTGTGGTACTAAAAACATGTCAATTCTGGAGTATGTATTGGGTGTTGGGTGTATTATGTGTTCCTGAGTAGCAGGAAAAGTCTTTTTGTTTTGGATGGAGTGATCACCATATTTCAGTTATGCCTATATCTTTAATGCTTTTCTTTAGCACTGAGGCTGCTTTTGACAGAGAGATGGATTTGGGTGAAGAGCGATCCAGAGAAGGATTTAACACCAAATTAAAGTCTCTGCCCACTATACTATACCCTTCAACTGTAGCAAGCCCCAATAACAAATTATTGAAAAATACTGGGTTGTCGTAGTTGGGTCCATATATATTTACCAAGGTTACTCTGTCCCTATTCAGCACACAGTCTACAAGCAGGAATCTTCCATCTTTATCTCTTTCAACTGTATTTCATTTAAAGTTCAGATTTTTGTGAATAAGCAGAGCAACTCCTATTCCTATGAAGAATAAAAAACATTGCCAACTCAATCCCTGCGCAATTTTGAGTGTTCTAAGTCTGTGAGGTGGCTCTCTTGAATAAAAGCTATGTCAACGCTTTGTCTCTTAAGATATGTTCATATTTTTTTCCTCTTTATAGGTGCCCCATGTGTTCTGTAAATAAATATGTCTGCAGAGTAGTTTGTTTTATGAGCACATTACAGAGTGTCTGATTCAAACTCTGCTGTAGCTCCAGAAGTGGTGGTGTAATGGCAAGCCTCAAACTAGACCAGAAAGGAATATTTGTAAATATGTGGGTGTACATTTTTATTCCAATGAGAGTCCATACAAAACTGTAAAAACTTTAAACTAAAAACCTGCCTAATAAAACCCCCAAAACAAAACAACATTAGGTAGGTACTTATCTTTATCAACTGTGGCTACCCCTGGAACTGCTTTGGTAAAAACTAAACTTAGGCTACTTATAACAGTCTGAACGTAGAGACATTTTTAACATCAGGCAGCCTAACCTTTAGGGAAAAATAATGTATCCATAATATACATATACCCTTTAAACCATTTATATACATAAATTATAAGTTGTAGTGCTAAACTAAATTGTTCTTGATTAGGGAAAGCCATGTTTTTAGGCACCTCGGCACTGTTAAATGAACAAAGAGCTTTGGGCTGTAAATATTCAAAGTATAATCACACATCAACCTCTCTCAATCTGTCTGTCTCTTTTTGACAGTGAAACACGTTAGTCTCTAATGTGAGCGTTGCACAACAGTCATTTTAGTCAATACTACTCACTTGACAGCTCCTTTACGAATCGTTCTGCCTCGGCCGGAGTGAAGAAAAACTTGACAGATCCTTTGTGCTTGATACGGAGTTTAGCGGGGTAGAGCAGCGCGTAGCTACAGACACATGAGTATGCAGTAAATATAACACTATTATATAATTTACCGAAAAAAACTGAACTTCTTGGATGGTCTGTTAACCGCACTGCAAGCCATGTATGTTGTCAGATATGTGTTAAACAAACTCTCCAAACGAAGTAAAAAAGAGGAGAAAGCTGATGGACCGAGCTGTTACCTAGCCTCCTGAACTGACAGACAGATGCAGCGTGCAAAGCTGTCAATCAAATCTGCCACAACCCTTATATTGGCAAAGCCGTTTTCCTTAATAAAATCAAATCTCATGAATTATAAAAGTTTATGTCCTTTTCTCTAAAATAAACGTCTGTAACCACTCCATTACAGCTATGAACACTTAGAAACTACAAATAAATATTATTTAAAAATATAGAGGTAACTTGGATAACACAGTTAATAATTACTCATCAGGTGTTTAAAGTCAGTTTCCTCTGATGACTCGTTTGAGCAGTTTGACGGAGAGAGATTGAACAGACACTCACGTACATGGTTAATTGTATACCGTTATGATGCCGATCTCTGTTCAGAAATGTCATATTTTAAATGTTTACATCACTGGTCATCATATTTAGGCTCATACTTTCTGTTTTAAAGTATGGTTTTCATTTTTTTAAATGTTATATCGGTAAAGACCCCAACTTGTCCATTAACCACCATTCATTCAGATAGAATGATTTCACCCAGAAAGGGGCGGGGCCGGCATCGTTTGGGCAAAGTACCCGGATGGTTTGCTCTCATGAATTTCATGTGATGATGTCACAGTAGCGCAACAAGACGACAACATCAAAGCAGAATAGAATTAGATGATGTCACAGCATTCGGACGAAGGACTTAACTCAAGAGCCAGACAAAGAATAAAGCTAATTTCAATTGAATTGACAGAGATATACTGGAGAGACAGAGATTCCTACTGGACGACAAAAACCCAAAACAATGAGACGTGGAATCAACCACACTTCCAAAACAAACAGCTCTAATGCTGGATGCTACAGCACACAGGCCTCTAACCCAAAAACACTGGACAAACATGGAAACTCAGCCTCCAAGGTCATGAGTCAGTCCCAAAATGACAAAGCCAGAGGGACTGTTCAGGTTGTCACTAAGGACTTAATTTGTAGTCTGAGGATCCCAGCAAAAGATCCATCATAAGAGACATTAATCCTTCCTTCACAAGAGACATTAATCCTGTCACCTGCTGAAATGCAGCGGATCCTCACACGCAGGGCCAGTCCGTGGCATAGGCAGTATAGGCAAATGCTAGGGGCGCCAGCCTCCAAATGAGTGAGGCTGAAAAGTTGAAGATAAGAAGAAATAGAAGGCAAAATGCATTTAAATATCACTAAATATTATTTATCTAATATAATTTTCATGCTATTATTTAGTAATGAGACAAAAGAAGCCATGAAAACAAAACTAGGCCTACATCACATATTTATATTTCCTTGCCTCCTGTTTGACCCGGCAGATCACAACACAGCTGCTTGTTACCTGCTCGTTGTGGAGGCTTATTAGAAGTGAGTGACAATGAGTGTACCGATTAATATCACGTTTATAAATGACCGTGATGTAAAAAACAACAACAAAGCCCTCGGGAGCCCAGGGACAAAAAAGAAGAGGAGGAAAAATATGAAAAAGACACAGAGGTAACGTCCTGCACGGATAAATGATGTATCTGTTGTATTTAAGCTACCTTGTTATGGATAGATGATAGTAACGTCAGTGTTTCCTAATTCCTAATCAATAGCTCGAGTTAACATCAGTTATTTCCACTGTACTTTCACAAGGTAAAGATTATACATTTTAAGAAAATGTTGTCATTAATAGTTTTAAGCTCTTGCCTTTATTGATGTCTAAGAGCATGAATGCATTTTGTGCTAGAAGTCCTCACTAAATAGATATGTGTGCATGCTGTAGGTCTGGTTGTAAGGAAAATGTTTGGGCTCAAGTAAAAAACTATGCTGAGATTTCTGTAGTTCTCTGAAGAGAAAATAACATTTTGTGTTCACATTATATTACAAAATGCAGATTGTTTAACAAACATTCATCTTCTCTCTCCAGATGCAATCATAAACATTAAAAACCATCACCTGCCTGTGACAACTTCTGCTCCCTGCACTGTTTGATATTGTTTGTTCTGTAACACTAGTTATTTGTATTTATATTATTTTGTATTTATTTATAAGAAATATTAGAGTTATCATCAATTTATTCATGTTTGTTTAGAAGCTCTGCCTCACAGCCTCCCAGGATCTAAAAAATAAGGAGAGCGAGGTCCAGAGGGAGGCTAATCAAAAGAGAGAGGTGAGGAAGAAAAAAGTACAGTTCAAATTACCTCCTAAAAACATAAAATCATCATTAGTCTTTTATAAAAAGAAAACTCCACACTGGCTTGATGTGGTCAGCCATTTCCAACCATTGTCACCACTTGGTGTCCACTCTGTTCTTCAGTGCATTCTCATTTAATACTTTAACACACACAGAACAATTCCTTACCTCTAACATTATAAAAGTTCAAACCTTTATCATCAGTCCCTTTTGGATGTCTTTCACTTGAAACACAAGAATTCATTGACTGTCATGACAAAACTAGGCTTGAGAAAAATCTATCTGACATGCATTTTGAGTTTATAATTTGACCCATGCCCTATTTATGTTACGGTTTGTATCCAGACCCAAAAGCAGACACAGCAGCAAAGTTGAAGGATTTGGGGTTTTATTGCAGGGTCTGGGAAAGGTGGATGGCTGACTGGCTGGCTGGTAATGACGGCGTGGAGGAGACTATGGAGTAGCTGGTTCTGTAGGCAGGCGGGTGAGTGGTTGTGTTGTCTGTGAGGAGAGCAGACTGGAGGAGATGACACCGGTGAGAATCTGGACAACAGGAGAGAAAAATCAGTTAGGATCCACTAGTAAAACGCTAGGAACAAAACTCTAACAAATGTTAGGAGCAGCCGATAGTATCTACCACTTCAGTAGACGCAATAATCTGGCAATGAGTCGAGTTGAGCCCAGGGCTTTTAACTTGAGGCAGATGAGCAGATGAGCTGCAGGTGTGAGTAGTCACCCGGTGTTGATTGTTTATAACAATTTATTAACATAAGCCCCTTTTATAGTGCAATTCTTCAGTCATTATGCTTTAAGACATTCCTATTTATTCCCCAACAGCGTAATAATGGTGTCCCAGTCTATCAATCACTTTGCCTTATGGAGTTACGGAAGCACAACAGAGCACAGCAAAGCAAGCGCTCCACATACACTCACAGTCAGACATGCACACACACAGTGCTGCTTTCCCCTGCTGGCTCCTTCAATCCCTTCTCGCCCCTGTAACGGCTATGGGATCACTTTGTCACCCCATCATGTCTCAACGACATTCATATCGAGAGAAAAAAGGACCCGGGGACGTTAATATCACGCCATAAAAGAGAAGAGACTCGGGGGATGTTAGCTCAAATATGCAGAAACAGTTCCTGTAAGAAGAGGTTTGAATTAGTCAGACTACAGATGAGAGGACTGAGAACAGAAGATGCCCAGGCTACATCATCTCAATCTGCCCATCAACCGACTGTTCCCATCTCCTTACTCTGAATGGCAGACCTGGAGTCGGGTGTATCATTTTACATATGCGATTTATAACATTTCTCACATTGCTTAAGTTGCACAACATAAATGCTTGTTTTTTTCTTAGGCTGGGAGAATCTGTTTGTTTATATTCAAAATGATTTTTCTCTTGTGTAAAATGCTCAATATTAAGTGTTGAAAGTTTTCTTCATTTACAGGGACGGGATTAGAAATCTCAAATTATTTGTGTTTGCCAGGTTTGATATCTACTCATCTATCTCATCTCTAACCTGTCTAATCACAGTCGCCCTGTTAGTTTTAAGCATCACAGCAAAAAGAGCCACTTCTTGTTAGCAGTTATGCGAGGTGGTTTGATGGTTTATTCAGCTACAGTTGAACTCACTAGTTCCTCTTTAGTCCGTCCTTCTCTCGGTCTCTCAACATGCTCTCTTTGCTGAGTTTGATCTTCTGCACTCAGGCAGGAAATAGGCCGACAGATCCCCAATGGCAAAGTCCAACAGGTCAAAATTGACTTTAAAATTCGGGCCATCCAACTACTGGATTCTAATGACGACCGTAATGACTGATGATGGGTTTTATTTGGTTTCATGGACAGTTTTATACATTCTTAGTTACCTTTTTGTCTCTTGATGTTCTTTGGTATTTATGTATTTAATGTTTTCAGGATATTGAATGTTTTCAGCACAGAACTGATAAAGTCAGAGTCTATCAGCTTGCGTTTTCTCAAATTTTCTGGTTTACACCTGGCTGCAAAACCAATTTCCCCTCGCCCTCAAGGATAATAAAGTTGAAGTCTTCATCTAAATAAGTGAAGGGTATTCTGTCTATTTTTAATGTTTCCGATCATTTGGCTCAGCTCAGACGTAAGAGTCGACTCTCTCGGCTCCCAAATTATTCTATATTTGGTACCATCTGTTTTTTTATTAAATCAGCCATATTTAGCAATGATTTCACCAAAGATTGACTTGTGTGCATTCATTTTACTTGAACTACTCATTGTAATTATAATAAATAATATATATATTGAAACCATATTGAAACAGGAGCTGGCTCAATCTTTCCAATTAAAGAGCCAGCCCATAGAGCTGAGTCCTTTGTGAACAACATGTCACTAGTTCCTTAGTTAACAATTTTAATAAGAGAAGATCAAGTCCAGGAAAAAAAATACTAAAACAAGCACATTTAAGCATCAAAAATCCTCCTGAATCTGAAGGAACTGACTAGAAAAACGTTATTCATGCAGGAAAAAAATAACATTTTAAGCTGAGAGTCAATCCTTCCTGTTTTTAGAGGTTTCCGCAATGAACAACAGCATAAGATGCTGCAAGAAGAGCAATCTAAAGTCTCTGTAAATAGTAAAGGAAATCGCTGCTGTGAGCTCGGGTTTGAAGAGAATGTAAAAATAGAAGCTATTCTCTTCCTCAGCAGCACGACAGTTTATTAATAATACTGCACAGCAAAGGTGAATTTGATCGCACACTGCATGGACTCTGGATGCAGCGGTCACACGTGTCCAATTACAGTGCAGAGGTCATTTGGGACGGTTGTGTTTGGACTCAAATGGCGTAAAAACTGGTGAAAACTCAGACCAAAGAACAACCAGATATGTCCATGCGCCTGCCACTGAACTGATGAGAGATTTGTTTTTATATTCCCATCCAAGATACATTTGGAACTAGACGTCTGTGTAGGTTTTGGAAGCTTGATTCAAAGGCAACTGGACTTGGTTGAACTGAAACGTCTTGAAGGCCTTTCAACTTTAAGTCCAGCAGCCTTTGGATCAAGCTTCAATTGAGTTTGGATCAAGAGTTTTTCGGGTTTTAAGCAAAAAGAACAAAAACAAAACAAGGAAGAGAGTGCTTGTGTGTACACTTGTATGTGTGTGTGTGTGTGTGTGTGTGTGTGTGTGTGTGTGTGTGTGTGTGTGTGTGTGTGTGTGTGTGTGTTCTTTGCTGATTAGTATTGAAACAGCGCTCTCTGGTGGTTCTGAAAGGGTATAACATTAGTAAGGGTCTAACACGAAATGCACCTCTTCAAACAGAACCTGTGGGTGCATGAAAAATGAAACTCACAGTGGTCAGAGATTAAGACTTTCATAGTTAAGAATCAATGTTTCACAAAAAGATCATTTCAGCATTTCAATCAGAACTTGATCATCAGCATTATTTCACATTGACTGGCTCTGGTTCCAACTTTGCATTGATGGAGATGTTTAATTTTACAGTACTAAGATAATATTACAGTAAGATCCTGTGAGATAATATGGAGGTATGTTATTATTATTATTATTATGACGTGCTGCTGCCCTCGTGGCCAGGTCACCCTTGTGAAAGAGATTTACCATCTCTTTCACAGAGAGAAAGAACAGAGGAGAGAGGAACGCTAACTGAACAACTCCAGTTAACCTCTGCATTCATTTCTGGTGTTTATTATTAACATCTACATGCTGAGAGAGAGTGTGTGTGTGTGTGTGTGTGTGTGTGTGTGTGTGTGTGTGTGTGCGTGTGTGTGTGCGTGTTACCTTGCTCCATGTAGAACAGGATGAGTCTGGCTAAAACAACTTTCATGATAGCTTCTCCATGGCCTGTAGTGGACACTGCTCCTGAGTTGTTGTCAGCATAACCTCCACAACCTGATACACACAACAACAAATACACACACACACACGCACACATGTGGGTCGGTGCACGTCAAATCTGGGAGTCAGTAGTTGAGGCAATCGAGCTAAATGCATCAACATCCTTGGAATCTGCAACCAGGTCTTTCACTTCAGATTTAAAAACATTGAAGGATCCCAGCTCCTTGAGGTTTAAGTCATAACATTATAAAACACTTCAGAAACCAGACACACATGGACTTTTCCTGCTCGAATGGCTTTCCTAAGATCTCAAGACATGACTGCTGGGAAAAAAAAAGATAAACCCTGTAAGTAAAAGATTTAAGAGAACGAGCGTAAGATCTGAGCTGAGTCCAGATCCATAAACTAAAGCTCTCCACGTGAGACTTCAGGGTGAAGAAATGTAAATATACTTAAGAACTGATGGAAATCAGACAAGTGTAAAACTGCATTGATGGGCTAGTTCTTCGACTTAAGTATGTTTCTACAGCAGTATTTTTTTCTAAAAATGATCAGAATCGTTTTGTACTTTTTATCTTGTGGCCTTTCTGTTAATGTCAGACGTCTGAGGCGGTATCCACTCATGACAGCCGAGTCATTCATTGACTGATAGTGACGGATTACAGTCTAAACTCCACTCACTTCACTAAACCTTTAGAGTGAATCAACCCTGAGATGATTCAGCTAGTGCCACACCAAATGTACACTTATTATTTTAAACAACACTCCGGACGCTGAAACATTACTCAGGCAACATTAGGGTTATTAGAATGAGCCACTCGAGCTGTGACTCTGACACAATGAGCAGGAATTAGTGAGTACATGGTAAATGGACTTTTACGCATCATGCTCAAAGGACTGGAGGACTGTTAAAAACAAAGAACAATGAGTCAACCTTTTTCAGGTTAAGTGTCTTTAGTATGTCTTTCTTCAACAAATACCTTTATGATGAGGCATATCATTCCACGCTGTATGTTTGAGGACTGACCTATGCAGGGTGTGTCCCCCACCCGACCCTCCATCTTGTTCAGCATCCCACCAGTGGAGGTCGCACAGGCTACAACTCCCTCACTATCCACTGCCACGGCCCCGACTGTGCACATCTTCCCCCTACACGTTGAAAAAAAACAGAAACAGAAAAAACAGATGTGAAATGTGTATGGATGGGATTTGTTAATACTGACGGACACTTTGCGTAGCAGCCTCTGTCATCACTGTGTGAATGTGGTGTGACAGGAAGTGTAAAAGCAGCTTTGAGTGGTCTAGAACGCTGGTTCTCAACTGGTCTATCCTCAAGACCCACAACCTACAGTACAACAAATTTAGGATATTTTTTAACCAATCAGATTTATTTACTGAAAAAATGTTGCAGTTCGAACGGCAGAGGATGCAAAACATGTCACAAGGGTAAAAATAATAAACATGTTTTTAAAGCATTTCATTGACTTTTTCATACAATTTATTCTCATGGCATACATTCACAACCTACTTTGGGTCCCGACCCATTAGTTGAGAACCACTGCATGTGAAAAGCACTGTCCAAGTACATCTACCATTTACTGTGATCCTGTCAGTAGCAACAACATAAAAAAATAATTTAAGCAGACATGTACTTTGGCAAGACACTTAACCCCAAATTGCTCCCGCTGCTTCATCGGTGGCATATGAATGATTTAGAGTAGTCAGAAGACTAGAAAAGTGCTATACAAGCTCAAGTACATTTACACTTTAAAAATTTGGGTTTCATTTACAGTAACATTACAGCTTGTTTTAAGGCTGCTCAAAGTGATCATCTGAAGATATATCTAAACTTTTTTTGCTTTTACTTTATTGCTAACAAAAACTAAAACTCTGCTGTTAAGCCTACTGTCTACACCTTACTGTATACTTATAGATTTGTTGTTGCACATACAGTATGGTAAAAACATGAGCTTTAGTAAGTTTATGAACACAAACAGGCCGGAGTTTCTCCTGCCAGCCCCCTCGTTTATTTTCCAGATAAAGTCTGAGTGAGCAGATGCGAGAAGGCAGCAGGATATTATCAGGAGGAGAATGCACGACTACAGAGACACAAAATAGAACTGCCGCATCATGTTTGTTTTCTGTTCTCCAGTTTTTCTTCTCCATTATTCTTTTTTTTTTGATATTGTGATCCTGTAGAACTACACATAGCATTGATATAATATTCTGATAATAGCCTTGTATAGCGGACTGTGTTGCTTTGTTCCTTGCCTCAGGAAACCCCACTTCTGTACAAGGATAGTCTCCGGCTGTGAGCTGAAAGTGTGGACAACAAGATCAGGAGGATTTCAGGAGCAGTCCTCCTGAAGTTCTTTAAAGATTTTCAGGAGTGCATATGTCAAAACGAATTGTCTTTGCTAAATGTTAAGTGATTTGCTCATAGTGGATTAATGTTGAGTGTTTGTAAATAATATAATAAAGAGTTCGGTCTCTGTCTTTTTGTAAAGTGTCTTGTTTTGAATTGGCGTTATACAAAAAAAGATTGATCGATTGATGTTAAAAGCTTCAAACCTTGTCTATAACCAGTCTTGCTAGCTGGGTTGGGTTGGCTATGTCGCGTACAGCTGACACTGCACCAGTCGCCAACGTTTTCCAGTCCATCACAAAAGCATCCATCTCCACCTCTCCCTTCACGTTCAGCACCGACCCACAGCCTGAAATAAATATGAAGAGAGAAATCATTTGATAGAGTCCGGCATCATGGGACAAAGAATGTCTCTCTGTATAACATCTTTAAAGAAAATGATCTGTGACAATTATTGTAAAATGATTCAGCAATTAAAGATGTTGTGAAAAATCCCTTTATATGTTAAGAGTTATGCTTTCTTTCATAGTAAAGTAATGCAACTCACTATTGTCAAAGTGTTCTTGGATAAATGTGGCTCAGTGATAGAGTAGTACTAAATGTTCAACAAAAGTCAAGATGGAAAAACAAAAACAATAGGGCTTTCACACTTGCAGAAAAACTCCTGATATTTCCAGGAGGAGCTGCATGTGTGAACGCCATCAGCCGACATTTTCACTCTGACTCTACCCGGTGTTTCTCCTGCCAGACCCTTAGTATTTTTTCATCCAGGTCAGGAGAATTTCAGGAGCAGTATTCCTGAAATGATCTAGATATTTTCAGGAGTGCATGTGTGAAAACAAACGTGTATAATAGTGTGTGTGTGTGTGTTTTTGTATTACCTGCGTTGAAGGAGGGGTTATTCTCCAGCTGGGTCACAGCCTCCACCACAGCGTCCATGCTGCTGCCCCCTCCCTTGAGAACAATGTACCCGGCTCGGGCTGCTGCAGACACCCCTGATGTGGAGTTTTGTGCCCGCTCCTTTGGGATATGACCCGCCCCTCCATGGACCACCACAGCTGGCAACATGTCAATCACCTGAGAGGTGAAGGAGCACAGTTAAAATGTCATACAGGATGAAGCCACATTCTGTTTTTAAAGGGGATAACGTCGTCTTTGCATTGGCAATCCAAAACGCCCTAAGTCTCTTTCTACATTGACGTGCAGTCAGACAAAAAGGAGAAAGTTCCCGAGTGTTGACGTGAAGTCATACAGTAAAAACTACTTGGAGAGATTAAGCAGAAACATGGGGACATTCATTTATTTAGACTGACTGTTAAAGACGTTATAATACATTCACATATTAATTAATGTTGTGATGTAAAACTAGTGCGTGCTTTAGGCTATACGGTGACCTATGTCTGATAACAAGGAGGGGAGCCGGATACAGCAATACTTTGATGTTTGGGGCAGCAGTCCGTGATGACATTACCACAATAATAAACAAAGTAAACAAGGACATATCAATCGCAGAACTTATTCAATCGGAAATACGTTAAATCTGAGGGGCCCTTGAACGCACCATTTCTACCAACACACCCAACACCTTGTTCTCAAACAAATCGCTGTATCAACTTCAGACATACGACTAATACATTCAAATAAAAACTCATAATTTACCATTTATTTACAACATTTCTAAATGAAATTCCGCCTGGCTATCTTTACAAAATTACCCAAGGTGTGTCATAGACTACAGTAATAAAGAGGTGTTAACAACGTAAATTATTATTTAAAATTGGCCAAAAATGACGAGCAGAAATATGAGATATATGTTGATATAGGAAAACTAAAGCAGGACTTCATTGCTGAATAGCCTAAACTGTAAGGTAGGTTCGGTGTTATAACAGAATTGCATAATTATTACGGATTATGTGGAGACAGTCTTGAGACATGCAAAAAAGACTGAAGTCATATGAGAGCCAACGCCGTTGTAAACAAGCATTGCGACGCTTTTGTTGGCGTAGTGAGTAAACAGACTATCACTGCAGACTATCACAGAGTGAAACAGACGTAACATACGTAGAGGATATAACAACAAATAACATGCTCTGTTATTTCTTTATCCATTCTTTTCATTCATTCTTTTATTCAAGAAATTCTACAGGTACCTGCTGCTGGCTTGATGGACTTGAATAGTGTTTCATCTCCTGCTTCAAGCTTCTTCTTCTTCTCTTCCTCTCTTTGGGGTCTATGGCAGATCTAATCCATAATGTTGCTTCAGCGCCACCCTCTGGTTGTGTTAGTCTTCTCTACCCTGCCATGTCTGGTTTAGTGTTCTTTGAACAATGAAAAAGGCTATCCCTCTGTGGAAAACTATATTTTGTGCTGTTACTGTGTCACCATTTCTTGCCTTTTGTAAGAAAATTTGCTGTATGTGCAAAATTCTTAATCTGTCATTGTACTTTTTCAGCGCTGTCCCCCACACATCTTTCAACCCGTGAAGAGTTTTTAACTAGATTTAAAACAGACAGAAATTCAAAGTGGTGACTCTTTAAGACCAATAAAAGCAAATAAGACCATCAGAGACAATGTTGCTATATTGTAATTTTCATTGCCTGTGTCTGAGTCCGTGGGAAAGGCATGAGATGAGACTTTTACACAAGTCACCCATCCTCCACTCCACTTTTGTGTCGACTTTGGACAGTCAACACAAAATAACAGAAGTAGATGAAAGTCTTTCTCACATCAGTTTATTTATTACAAGGTTACACACAGAGGCATCCAAGAAAACAGTGACAGAAAGAAGAGAAGAAGAATCCTTACACTGCAACTGTTTCATATAAACACTTTAAATTCAAACGTCATAGCTGATCCCACCTTACTGGTTCATATGTCAGCAACAAAACATCACAAAAGTCAAAAAAGTACAGACAGATTCCTGTGAATAGAATTGTCTCATATCCCTTTATAACAACAGTTATACATCTGTTAGTCAATACATACTTATGAATACACATCAATGATGTTGTTAACTTGGAATCCTTTGGATTAGTTTTACCACTGCACAGGATTAGCATTTCTCTCCTGTGTGAATCATCATGTGTCTGGTCATATGTCCCTTAGAACTAAACCTTTTACCACACTCAGAGCAGCTGAAGGGTTTCTCTCCTGTATGAACTAACATGTGTGTGGTCATATGTTGTCTTTGGGTAAAGCGTTTACTGCAAACAGAGCAGCTGAAGGGTTTCTCTCCTGTATGAACTAACATGTGTGTGGTCAGACTTCCTCTTTGGGTAAAGCTTTTACTGCAAACAGAGCAGCTGAAGGGTTTCTCTCCTGTATGAACTAACATGTGTGTGGTCAGACTTCCTCTTTGGGTAAAGCTTTTACTGCAAGCAGAACAGCTGAAATCTTTCTCTCCTGTATGAACTAACATGTGTGTGGTCAGCTGTTGTCTTTGGGTAAAGCTTTTACTGCAAACAGAGCAGCTGAAAGCTTTCTCTCCTGTATGAATTAACATGTGATACGTCAGACTTTGTCTTTGGGTAAACCTTTTACTGCAAACAGAGCAGCTGAAGGGTTTCTCTCCTTTATGAACTAACATGTGTGTGGTCAGATTCCCTTTTCGGTTAAATCTTTTACCACACTCCGAGCAGCTGTGTGGTCTCTTACAAGTCTTTAGTTTCTTATTTTTCAAGTTGAATTCTGACAGATGTTCTCCTGTCTCTTGCCAATCATCACTGTCATCAGTCTCAGATTCATAAGAGTCTTCAGTCTCGACCTCAGTCTCTGGTTGTAAACGTCTCTCTGGATCTGAGTCTCTCTCTGGTTCTGCTCCTCCACAGTCCTCTCCAACTCCTGTTTCCATCTGTTCAGTTTGTCTCTGATGAAGCTGTGAGGACTGAGGTTTCTCTTCATCATCTTCACTCTTCACAGAGACAGGAGTGAAGGGGAACTTGGTGGTATCAGCCTCCTCCAGTCCTTGAAGCTGTTCTTCCTCCTGACTGATCCACAGTTCCTCATGTTCTTCTTTAATGTGTTGGGGCTTAGTGTCCTCCTGGTCCAGAATGTGGCTCCACTCCTGCTGCTCAGGTGGAAGCTCTTCTTTACTCACCAACAGCTGCTGGACATCTGCAGGACACAGTAAACAAACATTAACGGTACTCAGACTGCTTTTTGAATATTAAAGGGGCTATATGTAACTTTCAAAAATACTGCGTTTGTAGCGATTCCGCAGGCCGTTAGACGAACTGCACCAGTAACCTGTTGCTCGTTCTCCCTCGCGTGCTCGTATGTACACAAAGGAGCATCATCATCAGCCGTGAAACACTGGATATTTAGCAGCATAATGTTTACAGAGGAGGTAAGTGGTCATACACATGTGAAAGTCTGTGAAGGAGTCTGTGTGTCTGTATTCATTCTCCATCCTACAAACGACAGTCTCTGCAGGCACTGGCTGAGAGCAGGAGTGTGTGATGAGTTTGTCCGCCTTTGAGAGCTCCTAGGGTGAATAGAAGTGTGTGGAAGACGGCCTCTGGCTGTGCAGGTGAAGACCGGGAGTGTGTGATGAGTTTGTACTGTTGATCTCTGTAAGCGGAGTGGAGTGAGGAGGACATTGAGAACAAGCATAAAATGTCACTTCCTGGAGCTTTCGCGGAAAATACGACCCGGGTAAAAAATGTATACATGCAACACAGATAGACAGTGAACATCTACTGTTTCACATCAGTTAACCGTTCACTTATTAATGGGTGATAAACATTTTATACATGTAACAATGTACATATAGAACCTTTAGTAAGGGCTGTCAAATGATTTCATTTTTAATGGCTGAAAATCAATAGTTGATTGGAATTGATAACATTTTAATCATGTTTGGAATTCACTTATTTTGCATTTTAAAAAGTTTTAATGCTGTTATTTTATAATTTTGTCTTAAGCTTATTTTGAAAGAAAATAAGGAACTGGTAGAAGATATTGTATTAACTTAACCATGGAAAAAAGGAACTTGTTAAAAATAAAAGTGTAAATAAAAGTGTCTGCTTCGGTTAGAGGGGGTGAAACTACATCGCTAGTTCCCAGGACTGTATGGCTGCATCCTGGCGCTCTCTCGTCTGTGTGCTCTCTCCTCTGTGTGCTCTCGCCTGGATGCCTGAAGCCAAGCCCCCTAAGCTTCTAATTTTCAACATAAAGCCATAAAGCTCCGGAAATAAAAATATCTGTTGTGTACATGTGATATATTACAAACATACTAGGTGTTTATATACGACGGAGGATTAGGGCAATGTTAAAAAATTATTATTTTTTAAAATTTCGAGATTAAACTTGTAAATTTACGGATTGAATCTCCTAAATTTACGACTGTAATCTTGAAATAAAAAAATGTCCGTGGCCCTAATCCTCCGTCGTACTTATACATTCAAGGCCAAATAAAAAATAAGCAATTTCTCAATTCTATATGTATCTGTGCTTTTTGAGAACACGAGTTGGTCGTCTTTGTTTCCTTTTATGAAACTCCTACATGGTGGTGTTAACTGACAGTGGGGAAAGATGTACCTTTACTTCCTTTGAGGCGTTTCCCCTTCTCTTTAGGGTTCGGTTCATCGCTATCGGCTCCCGGCTGGGACGCTGTCTCATCTCCGGGATGAGCGAGCGCTTCTTTAGCCAAATTGTGGAGGTACTTCAAAGCCCTAGAGAGATTTAACACACCTTTTTTTGAATCAGGGATGTTAGGATACTTTGCACTACAATTCACAATTGAGTACCTATATGGACAATTTATTCTTTTTACAGAGGCTGAGTTAGAAAATAATTGAATCGAAGAAATATAAATAAAAGAACGTCTAATCGTGGGCCATTTTCAACTGTTTCAAATGGGACGTCAAGTGATTTTGTCTAACCTAGTAACAGTAGCTAAGGGGGGCGGGGCTTGACAAAGGGTCGTTTGACCAATCAATCACTCTCTGGTATTTTTAAAATTTGACAATCTTGATAAAATAGCATCACAACTCAGTAGAGACCTATTGTATTGTGACTTGAGCATATCGTTACATCCTTATCCTGAATACAGAATAAATGAATCGCCCTTTGAGAAAATGTTACATTTAGAAAACAGACGTCATGTGACTCACGCTTTAGCAGCACCTCTCCTGCGCCGCCCCCCTGGCTGGATCTCCTCCTCGGGTTCACTCAGAGCTGCACATGGCGGTGGTTCTGCGATTACCTGCGCACGCTGCTTCTTCACATATTTTCTCTTCGGCTTTGGCGTCCCGTTCTCCTGCTGCGCCGAATCTGCCACTCCACCTTCCAAATGTGGAAGCGCCACATCAGTGTTCGGAGTCTCATTTTTTTTTTTTCTACCAGGAGTCCTTTTTGTCGGAGTCTTCTTGGCTCTAACAACCTTTTTAGGCGTTTCCTTTGCCTTTATTTCATCCGGCTCTTGAGGTGTTTTGTGATTGGCTTCATTTTCTACGTCATTTTCGGGCGGTTCTGGGTCATTCTCAGCTTTTCGCCACTTTGCCGGAGTCCTTTTAGAAGCTGCACCTTCTCCTGAGCTTTTTCTGCCTGTTGTTTTCTTCTCATCCAACGGGTCTTCAGTTTCATAATCCTGATATTTGGGATTTTTCTTGCGCTGTCGTCCTCTGGAGCTGGGTGTTAAATCAGAGTTCTGCTCTGACGGGTTCTCTTGCCCTGAAAGGAGAGTGATGTCATACATAGCTCCACAGGTGGATAATATAAAGTACACACAGAAATCTCTTTGGTTAATTAAATAACGACTATTTTTTTATTTATTCTTTTACTATAACTCACCAAATGTTAGTCTTACAGGCTGCATTCTCACAAACAGAAACCACTTTTAGAGACATAGTCAAAGTAAAAATGTAACCAGAGCTTCAAGTCTAAAATGTTTAGCACCCAAACCCATTTTGGGTTGGGAACCAGAGGGTCACCGGTTCAAGTCTGGAAATTGGTCCATTAGCTGGAGAGGTGCCAGATCATTTCCAGAGCACTGCCGAGATGCCCTTGAGCAAAACACCCTTTGTGCAACCCTGTAGCTCAGGGGTTAGGTGGGTCAAACTCCTAATAACAAGGTCAGAGGTTCAAATCCCTGGCTGCTACAGCACACATGTCAAAGTGTACAACTCACTCCTGCTGTAAATACATGAGCAGTTGGTTCATTTGGGTGTGTTAAAGGTGAATGTGTCACAGTCAAAAGGGAGACTACATCAAATAAAAGGAGGTGTTA